CAGAAGTGAGAGAAAATTCTAGCTGGTTGAATGGACACTATGATAAGGATGGAATGAGAAAACTGTTACAGTTGCAACAAAATGCTCCCTAGGAATCCGATGTTTCACATCAATGCAATGTTGCCACATTGTGAAAACACAAAGTTATATATGGTGCAAGAAAATTTCCTCTCAATCTTTTCAGGAGATTTGACATAGAAGCAAGAGATAAGCAAAAGAAAAATGGAACTCAATGGCAATATTAAGCAAACCCATGTTTTTTTTTTTATCCTCACCTAAGGACTTTTTTCCATATTTTGTTCAGATAGAGTGGGAGGGAGAGAGAGAGAGAGAAACATTGATGTGAAAGGGACACACCAAGTGGCTGCCACCCACGCAACCCTACCAGGGCCAGGGACAAACTGCAACTGAGCTACATGCCCTTAGTGGGAACCGAACCCAGGTCTCTCTGGACCATAGCCCGACACTCTAACCGCTGAGCCAAACCGACCAGGGCAAGCAAACCCATCTTTAAAAGAAAAAACAACAGGGAGAGAGAGAGAGACCAGCAAATCTGACTTCAGAAAGATTCACAAAAGTATGTACTATAAGGATGTCATCCAATGCAGCATTGTAACAGGAAGTGGTAGGAACAACTTACATGCCCATACCAAAAAGTCAGGAACAATGGAACAATTAAAATCAAACTATTTTGAGTGGTTACTGTTAGGTAGTAAGTATAGGGAAAGAAAAAGAATAAGAGAGAAATTGATGAGAATTTTCACTTTTTGGTTTTATGCTCCCTTCTGGATTGTTAGTTTTATTGTTGTTTGTACATTTTTAATTTAAACTGAAAATTACACATTAGTTATTGATATACACGTATGTATGTGTATATATACACACATACACACACACACATATATAGTATCTCCAGTGTATATGCTTTTTATTTTTTCTTAATCCTCATCCAAGGGTACTTTTTTTCCCATTCATCTTCAAATAGAGTGGGAGGAAGAGAGAAGGAGAGAAAGGGAGAGAAACATTGATGTGAGAGGAACACATCAATTGGTTGCCTCCCACACGACCCCGACCAGGGCCAGGGACCAACCGCACCGACGTTTGTGCCCTTGGCCGAAATCCAATCTTTGACTCACTGGTCTGCGGGCTGACACTTTAACCACTGAGCCAAACCAGCCAGGGCTCCAGTGTATATGCTTTTTAAAAAGCCATTGCAATTTATGACCACTGTTATATAAATGTTCTCTTGTGTTTCAAGAGGACCTAAAGCCCAAAGAACTTTGAGATGGTTTAGCCTTAGAGGAATATCTATTTCTCACAGCTGCTTGAGAGTGTTGGTGTCCTATGACCTGAGGCACAAGGAACCAAAGGTCCATCCTTCTCGAGCTGGGGAGGATGCTTCCGGGAACACTTTCATGTATTGTGATCTGTGAGGGAGAAACTTCCCTTCAGAGTTCCAGGCCTCTGTTCCTTGAGGATTCTTCTAATCTAATGGCAGAATTGTTGCTCTATCTATTGCCACGATGTCTCCCTGGCCATGTGTATCAAATCGCAGGTCTATTGGTTTGTTGAAAAGGACAGGGCAGATACGTGAGGAGCAGGGAGCTTCCATGCCCTTTCTGAGTGCATCACTCTCCCAGCATCTCCGTATGCTCGCCAACCCAGAAGCTCCAGTTTTGTTTGGACATGCATTACTTTTCCATTAAATTTTTAAAATATTATATTATTTGAAATGGAAAAATAAAAAACCTATCATGTTGAGGGGAATCATAAAGTCATAGAGTTGAGGGACGCCTCAGAGGTCTGTCCAATCTAACCCCAGCCAGGTTCAGCTGCACAGCCTGGCCATCTGCATCTGCATGGGGCTCAAGGGAGAAAGGGTGCTTCTGGCTCGCAGGCACTCTGGCCTTATGGGAACCCAGTGCACCCCAAGAACGTGAAAAATCAAAGCTTTGTGGTTTTCATAATCTACTCCTGCACTGCGAAATATCAATGACATCTACACACCTGGGACTCCAGTAGCCCCCAAAACTTCCTGGTTCATACCAAGTCCTGAGAACTTTGGTAGTCAGCCTCAGAAGGGGCCTTAACCCAAAACACTGAGGTCAACTCTAAACCAGTTGGCTGTCAGTGTAAAGCATATTCCAACCACAGTGTAGCTTCAGTCTAACGGGGCCTCCCAGGGTCTACATGGCATCACCATAAGCGGCCCACTCCGTGGCCATTCTTCCTGCCATCTTAGAGCTTGGGAATTGCTTATTGCCTTGACCTTGCTGTTCTATATACTCAAGAGGAGCCCTGGTTGGTTTGGCTCAGCGGTTGGAGCATTGGCCTGCGGACCAGAGAGTCCCGGGTTCGGTTTCCGCTAGGAGCATGTACAAAAAAAAAAGGCAAAATTTCACGTCAGTTAACAGGGGCTTTCTTTGGTGCCACCTTGATCTTCTGTTCGGCCTTTTTACCTCTTACTCTCCCACCTCTACCCCACTCCACACCGTGGAGCACGCCTGCCTTTGCCCCACATTCCCTCTGGTGGACACATCGTGGTGTAAGTGCCCTCAGTTCGGCAGATGGAGGTTGGCTAATCTTACACTTGGGAGGCACACCTGGAAAGGGTTAGCCATCTCCTGATTTTTAAACCACTGGAATATATGGAAAGCAAGAAAAATGTCATATTCATTACTATATCCACTCTAGCATATCAGCATATGTATCAGCATAGCTTGCTGAGAGCAGGTATTCAATACATGGCACTGTAAGGTGATAGAATCTTAAAACCGGAAGGAACCTTAAGGAGACCAGTTCCCATCAGTCCACAGCTGAGAAATTTGAGACTCAGGTGGCTAAATTGGGTCATCAGCTACTTAGTTTATATCAGCCGCACTCCAGATATTCCTACTCTGAGTTCAGTTTCTTCTGTTAGGCTGCTTGTCAGATAAATGAACAAATGACTTTACCACTCAGTCTGTACAACCAAAGGAGACTGGAAAAGAGATTAGAGTTAAATAATGTAGCAAATGTAATTGTTTAGAGACTATATTTGCCCAATTTAAATGAAGTTTTCCACTTTCAATTGAATGTTTATAGCCTTAGACACGTTTTTAGTCATTTAAAATTTTTGACCAATTCAATATACATTCAGAAAAATAATTTTAGTATAATGTTAAACTCTAGTTCCTTTATAATCTATAAATTGCCTCAAATAATGACATCACCAGGTTGAACCTAATATGTGTTTGTATATCTTTACACGTCAATGGCAAAGGATACAAACGTTTCATGTTATGTCATTATGTAATAACTTCAAGAAAAAAATTTTTTTAACCTAATACATGTCAATAAACTCTGATATAACATGACTACATGATATTTACTCACCAGATTCTCAAAACACATTGTCCTTTAAGAATCCAACTTTCCCCCTCCAAATTCTTTTTATTATTGATTTGAGACAGAAAGAGAGAGATTTGTTGTTCTACTTACTTATGCATTCATTGGTTGATTTTTGTATGTGCCCGGACCGGGGATTGAACCCTAAAACTTGGCATATTAGGACGACGCTGTAACTAACTGAGCTACCTGGCCACTGCCCCAATTTTTTTTTAACTAAATAATTATTTGGCAGCTTTGAGTTTCCTTTCTTTCATTTTCTTTCTCTTCTTTCATCTTCTTGCTCATCCTCATAGAAAGAGGTTTGAGAAGAGAAATAGGGAGATCAAATAAAGAAAAAAAAAGTTAGACAGAAACTGGAAGGGAGAAGTAGTCAGGCTCCTGGAGGAAGAGGAATGTGCTGAGGCATGGTCAGGAAACCTGGGCCCATGCAGGCTCCCATTCTCTCTGCCCTCCCCTCTCACTGTCATCCCTCCTGCCCTTAACAATGATCTTGGACAACAGAAAATGATGAAGTTCCTAAACTCTGATTTAGACACATCAATCCAACCAAAACTGAAATCATTTCACAATACCCGGGAGAGTGCCATCACACCAACCACTGTCATTAAACGTCATAGAAGAATAACCCTTTGGAATGACAATGGGCCTTTTAAAGATGATCCTGTCGAGCCCTGGAAGGTTTGGCTCAGCGGTAGAGTTGTCGGCCCATGGATCCAGGGTTCAATTCCCACCAGGTGGCATGCATCTCAGTCCCTGTGCGGGAAGCGACCAGTCCCTGTGTCCCTCTCACATTGATGTTTCTCTCTCTCTCTCCCTTTCTCTCCTTCTCTCTCCCTCCCACTCTATCTGAAGATAAACAGAAAAATATACTCAGGTGAGGATTAAAAAAAAAAAATGATCCCGTCTAAAACCTTCTCACCCATCTTGCAGAAAGAAAACTGACATCCAGAGAAATGAGGTCGCTTGCCCAAGGTCTCAGTGAGACCAAACCGCAGGCTTGCTTTGGCCATAGCTCTTTTCTCTACGAACAATTTAGGAGCTACAAAACATACCCAAATAATCCCAACTTTGGAGCGAGAGATGAAAAACAATTACAAAGAGGCACAAAATAACGGAAAACAAACTAATTCAAAATAACAACTGCACCCCACCTCTCAGAAGGCTGGTGACAATGAACTGTAGCAGGCTGTTCAATGTGGTACCTTGGACGATGAAATTGCACTTTTTCCTCCTTTGTCCATTTCTCACTGGCACAGACCATTAAAAAGTGCATATATAACTCTTACTTTGAACCAGCACAGACCTTTTTTGATACCTAAAAATTGGGGATTAACAAATAACATTTTCTCCCTCCAAAGGCTTACAGACATTACCTTATCAGAGTTAAAATGACAGGTCACTCGGTGAGTCTCAAAGCCCTGGGGAACATGAAATGCCTTCCACAGAGATCAGTCCTCTCCCCTGACCTGCACAGGTAAACCAACTCAGCTGACTAAAGCCAGAGAGATTTGGTTTTATCAGTCGCCTCAACACAGACTTTAGAGAACACCACTCCAGAAAACTAACATTGCGAAACAGGGCTTGAGAAAAAGAAGAAAACTTTTCCTTACCCTTAAAAATAACAGAAACAATGGGATCCGGTTTCCCAAATGTCGTTTTAGGGATATTGCTGGCAGATTCCACAATCACACGAAGCATGGCTCTGAATGGGGAGAGGGCACGTCCCAGCACACGAAGTTTGGAGACGCGGGCGCTGGAGCCCCGGGCAGCACCGCCCTGGAGAGGAGGCTGCGAGGACTCGGGAGAGGAGGGAAGGGGGAAGGCGATGGGTGGGTCTCTGCCGGATTATTTACCGAAGGCTCGTGTAAACTGAAATCCAAACTCCCGGAGTCTCCGCAGTGCCGCGGGCACCTACTTATGAATTCGGGAAATGGGGAAGTGAAAAGGACCAAACCCCAACTAAAAATAGTTATGTGTAACAAAAGGAACTGAAATGGATTTGGAGTTAATAAATGTGAGCAGGTCAGGAGGCCTCTAAGACAATTCGTGAAACCGAATTTATTGGTTTTCTGCCACTGCTTTTGTTCTTTTCTGAACTTCAAGAAGTTTTAAAACTTTACTTAATCGTTGTTTTTTTCTTCCTTTCCCTTCTTTTTTTTTTTTTTTTTTTTTTACTTTTGCTGTTTCTTTTCTCATGCTATTGAACACACCCACTCAGCAACTACTTACAGAAAGATGTTTTAACCCGTTAAAGGGTGCCCCCTACTGTATGACAGAGGAATGACTGAGTTTATTTCAAGGGAGCCCAATCTGGAAGCAGTAATAATGGGTTTACAAAACTGGTGAATTGGGGGCTTATCCTTTGCTTTCCAAAAGGATTCACCATAGGATTATTTCTTTAAAAATCCTTAAGTGGTAAGAGCTGGGCACCTAAGTCTTCCTGGTTCATCAAATGATGCTAACAGTCTTCAATAAAAAGGAAAAGGCCACTCTCCACTTTTTCAGGACCTAAACCTAAGAAGTTATATAGTCAGTGACTTTTGTTAAATCGCGGTAAGGAAGACTTTATTCAAAGGGAGAGGGGCTACTGAAATAGGTATGGGGACCACTGCAATGGAATTTTGCTGTGGAGGGGAGAGATTGGTCTCGACTACAGATAGAGTATAACCGAGTGGGAATTTATTGCCAAAGAGCAGGATGAGGGTCAGTGGATGGAAAATTACTATAAGGAAACATCAGGGAGAAAGGGGATTCTGGCTAAAGCAACCTAACAGGATTCTTGCTGAAGACAGGTCAAGGTGACCAGAAATCACACGGGGAATGGTAGAGGATGAGAAATGTCATCAGGTAGCAAGGGTGATCAGATGTGGAGGGTGTGTGTGTGGGTGTGGGGATATTCTAGTTAAACTGACTTAGGGTTCTTGCTAAAACTAAATTTTACAAAGAAGTGCACAAATGGGCCTAGGAGAAGGCTCAAGAGCCTGGCTAAAGTTTGGTCAAGCAAAGAATCTTTGTCACCTAGGGGGCATGTTAGGCAGTGTGCCTAGTGATTGAGATCACTAGACAAGGCCTGGGGTTGTAGTCAGCCAGACTTGGGTGTGGGTCCCTTTTTGAGCTATATAAATGTTTACATTTTTTTAACCCTTCATTTCTGCAGTTATGTCATCTGTAAGTGGAGGTAACTATAATTTACTGGCACAAAGCAGTAAATTACACTCATACATAACCAGAAGTTCATGCTTATTCATGATTTCATAGCATTTCTATAATGCAAGCATCTAACCTATGAGTGGAATTGCTGGTTCAAATTGCATTTATTCAGAATTACTAGGCAATTCAAAATCATTTTTCGTGATAATAGTGGTTGTACTATTTATGCTCTCACGAGCAGTGTATGAGACTTCCCATTTACACACTTGGCCATGTTAGATTTTAAAATGTTTGCCTACCTGTTGAGTTTATGACACTATGTCAGGGGAGTCTTAATTTGCATTCTTCAGTCATGAAAAGGTTGAGTACCTTTTTATATTTACATTTCCTAATCTGTGAAGTACCTGCTCAGATTTTTGCCTACTTTTCTATTGAGTTGTTTTTGTTTGTCTTACTAATTTTCAGGAGTTGTCTACGTGCTCTGACTCCTAGTCCTTGTGGGTTGTGATTTTAATACAATTGAAATTATCAAATCTCCTTTATGATTAGTAAACTTTTCATATTAAGAACTCTTTTCCTACCCTGAGATCATGAAGATATTCTTCAATAACATCTTCTAGAAGCATTTTGTTTCATCTTGCACATTGAAACTTATACTCCTCCTGTAATTGATTATGTGTTATTGTAAGGTTAGAGGTCACATTTCATTTTTCTCCATATGGATATTCAATTGATACAGTACCATTTATTGAAAAGTTTGTTCTTGCCCCAAACCTACGTCACATGGCAGGTGTGTAAATGTGTGTGGTTTTGCTTCCATGCCCTCCCTTTTGATTTACTGATCTATTTACCATCTCTTCACGAAGCCAATCCTGTTTTAATTATAGCCTTATAAAACTTCATAAGATTTTGAGCTAATCCTTCCATCTTATTCTTTTTCTTCAAGTATCTTGGCTATTCTTGTATTTTAATATACATATTAGGATCAGCTTACCAAATTACAAATGCTTTAGAAATCTATTGCAATTTTGTTTAAAATTTCATTAAATCTATAAATCAATTTTTGGAGAACTAATGTCATTGTAAGTATTTCAATTCAAGAATATACTATATCAGTTTTTTTACTTAGATTATTTTAGTGTCTCTCAGCAAATTTTATAAAATCCCATAAAGGCCTTGACCATCTGTTTTGTTGTTGTTGTTGGTATCTTGGGACTTGATGTTTCTTGTGGCCCTCCATTATAAACATTTTCAAACATAAAAAAATGAAAAAAAATTATACAATTAACACCTGTATGCTCATTATCTAGATTTATCAACTAGTGACATTTTGTCATGATTATGTTATCTGTTTAATTTTTATTTTTACTATTATTTTTTTAATCCTTACCCGAAGATAGTTTTCTATTTATCATCAGATAGGCTATGAGGAAGGGAGAGAGAGAAACATCAGTGTGAGAGGGACACATCGATTGGTTGTGCACGACCCAACCAGGGCTGAGAACAAACCATGACTGAGGTATGTGCCCTCAACCGGAATCGAACCTGCGACTCATTGGTCCACAGGCCGACGCTCAAACCACTGAGCCAAACTGGACAGGGCTCTATTTAATTTTTAATAAAATTATTTTAAAGTAATTATAGACATCATGAAATTTATTTCACCCTTAAATACTAAATCATGTACTTTGTAAGAAAGACATGTTACTGCAATATCACAATAACATAACTATATCTATGTGTATTCGAGTTATCCAATTGTGCTAATAACTAATTGCATGAAAAGATCTGTTTTAGTTTTTTGGAATATTTTAAAATTAGGAGCCAGGACCCAGTCAATATTCATATATTTGTGCATTTGGCTGTTTTGTTCCTTTGGTCAGTTTTATTCTTTTTTTTTTAATTTTTATTTTATTTTATTTTTTATTTTTTTTATCCTCACCCGAGGACATTTTTCCATTTTTTGTACAGACAGAGTGGGAGGGAGAGAGATGAAGAGAGAGAGAGGGAAACATCGATGTGAAAGGGACACATCGAGTGGCTGCCACCCGCACGACCAACCAGGGCCGGGGACAAACTGCAACCGAGGTACATGCCCTTAGCGGGAACCGAACCCGGGTCTCTCCGGACCGCAGGCGGACGCTCTAACCGCTGAGCCAAACCGGCCAGGGCAATTTTTATTTTATTTTTAATTTTATTTTTGTTACAGATATTTCTCCTTTTTTACCCCATTGATACCCTCCTCTCCATCCTCCACCCCCGCCCTGTCCCCAGTTTTGTTGTCCATGTCCATTGGTTATGCATACATGCATATAAGTTCTGTGGTTTATCTCTTCCCTCCCCCACACCCCCTCTTATGAGGGTTGTCATTCTGTACCCTACTTCCATGTTTCTGGGTCTACCCTTTTCCTTATACTGCTATGTTCATTATATTCCATGAATAAGTGAGATCATGTGGTATTTGTCTTTTTTTGCTTGGCTTATTTCACTTAGGATAATACTTTCCAGGTCCCAACATGTCGTCTCAAAGGATAAGAGATCTTTCTTTCTTACCGCTGCATAGTATTCCATTGTGTATATGTACCACTGCTTTTTTATCCATTCATCTACTGATGGACACTTGGGCTGTTTCCTGATCTTAGCTATTGTAAATAGTGCTGCTATGAACATGGGGGTACATATATTCTTTCTGATTGGTGTTTCAGACTTCTTAGGGCATATTTCTAGAAGTGGGATCACTGGGTCAAATGGAAGTTCAATTTATAATTTTTTGAGGTAACACCATAGTGTTTTCCATAGTGGCTGCATCAGTCTGCATTCCCACCAGCAGTGCACTAGAGTCCCCTTTTCTCCACACCCTTGCCAACACTTGTTGTTTGATGATTTGTTGATGGCGGCCATTCTGACAGGTGTGAGGTGATACCTCATTGTTGTTTTAATTTGCATCTCTCTGATGATTAGTGATGTTGAGCATTTCTTCATATGTCTCTTGGTCATTTGTATATCCTGTTTAGAGAGGTATCTATTCAGCTCCTCTGCCCATTTTTTAATTGGGTTCTTTGTCTTCCTTTTGTTGAGTTGTATGAGTACTCTATATATTTTGGAAATTAACACCTTATCTGATGTATCATTGGCAATGATGTTCTCCCATACAGTGGGTTGCCTTTCCATTTTGATGGTTGTTTCTTTTGCTGTGCAGAAGCTTTTTAGTTTGATGTAGTCCCATGTGTTAATTTTTTCCTTTGTTTCTGTTGCCTTAGATGATGTATCAGTGAAAATTTTGCTGTATATGATGTCCGAAATATTGTTGCCTACATTTTCTTCTAGAATTTTTATGGATTCACGGGTCACATTTAAGTCTTTTATCCATTTTAAATTTATTTTTGTGTATGGTGTAAGTTGATGATCTAGTTTCTATTTTTTGCATGTAGCTGTCCAATTTTCCCAACACCATTTATTGAAGAGGCTATCTTTACTCCATTGTATGCTCTTGCCACCTTTATCAAATATTAATTGAGCATATTGCCTTGGGTCCATTTCTGGGTTCTCTATTCTGTTCCACTGGTCTATATGCCTGTTCTTGTGCCA